CCCCAGTAACGGTAATGGCGTTGCAACAGTGGGAAAAGTAATTCATTAGATTATTCCGTTACCCAAAAGAAGAACGCCGTTAGTAACGCCGTTATTTTAAACGGCGTTATTCCCATCACTGCCGTTAACTTCTGCTGACAAAAATGTGAGCTCTTGACAACAAACACTCTCCCACTCGGTTACCATGGAGACACATTTGCGCACACGCACCACCGGTTTTGTCCTGCACTCGCTTCATGCCGCCCTTCTTGCTCTTCATTTTGATGCTTGTTTTGTGAAACATGGTCAGTGATGTCCTCATTAATGTTTCACTCAGGTTCAAACTGAAAAGGCTGAACAGATGACATGTGTATGTCGCTGAACAGTCACTACAGGGTCCCAAAGCCGGCCGGTATAACTGAGGTACAACCATATGACGTCACATCCCAGAGTGCATTGCGACGCTAATGACGACCTACGAGTTAAACTATTTTTACAAATTTTATAAAAATGAAGACATTAACAAGGTTTTTACACCACTTTAATATAACTAATACTAACATTTATCTTATAAGAACCACAAGGCTTTGTAACCTGGGTTCCTTTAAATGATCCTACATAGACAGCAAAGCAAAATGTTTGGGACAGCAGGTTTAGTGGAGGCTGAACAATCCATAATGTGTCATTATGAGGCACTGCTGCTGCTCTCTCATCCACAGCCTCCATTTTTACACTCATCTGTATGAGTGTCACACTTTCTCCCCATATTTGGACCATTATGACAGCAGCAGCAGCTGAAGACAAGCAGGGCACGATGGCAGACATATTCGTACTGTGTGAGCAGCAAGTTTAAGTGTAAGCTTCCAGCTACATGAGAGGTTGGCGAGCTAGAGCGCACTCATGTTTGTAAGAATCTGTAGGATGTAGTCAGTTAAAACTGAAGGTTGTGCAGTGTTGGAGGAAAATGTTTCAATTCTTTGCTCTTGGGTCCTAATTCTCCAAATCAGGCTGCACAACAGCACTCAATTGGATTAAATAAAATTCTGGCATGAAGGATGTAGCCCAGATGCTCTCCCCTTAGACACAAGACACTGCTTATTAATTTCTTGTCATCTTCCTTCCAGGTGATTATACCAGATCACCATTGCACGCAGTTGTCTCCATTTAACCAGACAGGCCAGAAAGGACCACTTTACGAGCCATTTCAGGAAACAAATGAGTACCTGCCACGGGGTATTTACCCTGAAAGGTCCGGTAGAGTGGCTGGGCGGGGCTTGTGGTTAACTTGTGGTGAATGATTGTAACTCAGTGAGAAATTATATCAGTAGACTTCACCAAACAACTGGCTGCTGAAAATATTTGAAGAGTTGCTGGTGAATCTGAATGAAAGGAAGATAAATATAAGCAGAAATGTTGACACTGCTTTAAAATCACCGTCTCTAAACTCATCACTGAAATCCCTCCACAACGCAATAACTCTCACCATTTTGTAATCTCTTAAGCAGCTAATCTATGGCAGAATGGCTCCGGTCAAAGTTCAGATTTCAACCCGACTGAGCCTCTGTGGTGGGATCTTACAGCCTTTTTCACACTGGAGATGTAGAAAAATTGGCCTAGTCTTCATCCGCACTTGCTGTTCACACATGTACATCGCAGCGGGGTTTTATTCTGCTGGAGATGAGCTCTCACAGCTTGAAATGCAAAGGAGGAGGTGTGGAAGAGTAACTGACTGGGGCGCACATGGAGTAGAGACATGATGCTAAAAGTACAATGTGAAAATAGCTGTGTTTTTTGTGTTTTTACCCAATGCTTTGAGAAGAGCAGATGAGACTTCTTGCTGTGTTCGTATTGATAATGTATACACAATAGTGAGGGGAATGCATGTACAGGTCAACAGAAATGAGAAGGAAGTGAAAAGTCTTACTAGCAAACATACATTTGCAGCAAAGGCCAGGAAAATGTTCACATATAACCTCACCTACTGATCTCCTGACCATTATCCCACTATGTGGGTGAAAAATGTTTGCAGGAATTCTTGAGCTATTGCAGCAGACATTTGCTATCCTTTCTGAACATTTCTGACAACAGTGCATGTGTTCCAGTGCAACTAGAAGGTGCTTCCAGGAGCTAAAAACTAGGGGTGCTCCGATTGATCGGCCACAGATAATTATCGGCCGATTTTCCTGCAAGTGTGTGATCTGTGATCGCCAATCACTGCCTTTCATTTTCGATCTGGCACTGGCGCTTACTCTTCCCGGCCGGTAGTTCACCCTTCCGCTTCTCCCCGCTTAGTGCGCGTGGCGGCAAACCCGCAAAGACAAACATGTCTGCCGTGTGGAACTTCTTTACGGTGTGCGAGAGTGACATTAAGTTTGCGTCTTGCAACACGCAACGAAAACATACCCCGCGGAGGAAGCACTTCAAAAAAATTCAACACAACGAATTTGATCCGACATTTAAAGACTAAACACTTGGCGGAGCATGGTGAGTTTTTGAGGCTCACCGCAGACAATGAAAAGAAGCCTGCTAATGCAGCCACAGCCAGACGGCAGCTAACGTAGCCGACGCTTGGAAACACTCGCCCATATGAGCGTGACAGTCAAAAGGCTAAGCAAATTACCCGTAAAATCATCGAGTTTATTGGACTAGACGACCAGCCTTTTTCAGTTGTGGAAGACGCCGGATTCCGCCGACTACTAACCCACTTGGAACCTCGCTACATGCTACGGGGACGTAAATATTTCACCGACGTAGCCCTTCCAGAGCTCCACCAGACAGTGTATTCTTTCATCGAGGGACTCCTTAAAGAAAGCGTGAGTTTCTCTCTGTGAGTTTCACAAGTGACATTTGGAGCTCAGGTGTCAGTCCTGTGTCAATGCTGAGCTTAACAGCTCACTGGATGTATCTGAATGTATCTTTGGTTACTTAATTTGATTTAGGCGGTGATGTGAGATATTGACTTTTTTTGCACTATTTGTAGCCTAAAGAGAGCCTTAATGTTTTCAATTTCTTATAAATTGTTACTGATATTACATAATTTGAAGTCAAGTAAAACCATGTTTTTTCTGAATTAATATGTAACACATGCATTAGAACTCACCATAGCTAAATGAACAATTTACAGCCAATCTATGTAATTGGTATCGGTAATCGGCTGATCGGCCATGATCGGCCTCTTGGCTGATCAGTGATCGGTGATCGGCAGATTAAAACCTGATCGGAGCATCCCTAGTAAAAACACATTCATCCATCCAGTTTCTATTCCTGTCTGTCCACGCAGGGTCACGGGGGGCGGAGCTGGTGCCCATCTCCAACAGTCTAAGGCAAACAGGTGGTGTACACCCTGGACAGGTTACAGGTACATCGCAGGGCAACACAGAGACACACAGGACAAAAGACCATGCGCACATGCGCGCGCGCACACACACACACTTACCCAACAACTAAGGACAATTTAGAAAGACCAATCAACCTGACAGTCAGGCTTTTGAACAGCGGGAGGAAGCCGGAGTACCCAGAGAGCACAAACACTCACAGGGAGAACATGCTAACTCCTTGCGGAAAGACCCCAGGCTGGGATTCGAACCCAGGACCTTCTTGCTGCTAGGCAACAGTGCTATCCACTGTGCAGCCCTGTAAAAATAAATTATATTTATTAATTTTATTAATTAAATTCTGCAAAAGCACCGGGCTGCCCGTGGATGTGCCAGACTTTAAATCGGCTTTACTAAAAAACAAATATCGGCCAAAGTATAAAAATATGGTAAATATGGGCATGATATAGCGGCTGACTGATATAGCAGTCCACCCCAATATTTACCTGTATTATATTTGGATCAATAGAGTCTATTCTATTCTAAAGTTCAATTAAATAATTCATGACACAATCAGATTTGGGGAAGTGCCACCAGTGCCATTCTTCCAAGACTGCTTTAACCTTGTTTAAAATCCAACATAATCCAGAAATAACCCTAGACAGGAGCGAGTATGTTAACACTTTTTGTACCACAGCTTCACATTCGTTTCTCCTAATCTGCCTAATAAAACTGCAGCACAATATTCCCAAATGATCATGTCCTGAAATCTCCCATCAGCAACAGCACAGTGCAGCACAATCAGGCTGTCACACCTGCTGACTGTTAAAAGGGCAAACTATTCATGTCAGAAGACATTCAGATCCTAGACTCAGCAAACAACCTTGACCCCGTCCACTCGAAGATTTAATGATGGAAACAAAATGTTGCAAAGGCAAAGAGGAGGGAGGAATTATTTTGCATTTACGTGACTTAGATGAATTATTGTGCAAAGAAAGAGGGTAAACATTAAAACAGACTAGAAACTTCAAGGCTTATACTTTCATTATAAGCTTGAGTACAGGCCAAGGCCATTTCCCCTTTCTTAAGCCTGACTTGGAGTCTTTGCTTTAAAGCTGCTTTCACATAACTGGATAGTTGAAGTGACACAGTTGTGCCAGTCTCTAAACATGAATTTTTGACCAATGGGCTGAGAGCCCACATCACTGATGATTACATGCCCTGGACTGAGTTTCTGTTACCATGGAAACTTGAGATTTAGGGGGACAGAGAATGTGCGCATTTTCCAGTCATAAAACGCCCACCATCACGTATCTGTCACCACTTGTTTCCTTCAGAGACATGCGAGCAAGAGACTAGTGTGGGTGAATACCTGCAATTGGGATGAATGGAAAATGTCAAAGAAGGAAGGAAAAAATAACATGGCTGAGAAATGCAACTGCATTTTTACATGAAGTCTCAGCATCCAAGCCAAATTAAAGCTATTTTTAATCCCATTCAAGTCTCTACTAAAGTCAAACACCTTATGCAGAACATACCCGAACTTTATTTCTTTTAAAGCATAAAAAACAACAATTACGTAGCTCAATCATCCCATGACATCTTTTTATCCCGTGACATTCAGTTATAATTAAATGCACGAATCATGTCATCAGCTAAAGAGTAAGTGCTAAACATATGTCGGATTTATAAATTAAAAATACTCACTGAGTGTCTTGATTGTGGAAACATCATGTCAAGTCCTTGTTTGTTGCTTCCAAACACGACTAACTGTGAGGCCAGTGTTTGTATTTCCCCGTTGCGTTGGTCCTTTGTCCAAAGCTAACACAGCCCTCCAGGAGCTGTCCAGGGTTAGCAGGATGACTAGCTAAAGGCAGCTAGAGGACCCCCCCTCCCAAAATTAAGCAAAAAGATAAAAAAAGAGAAAGAGCAGAATATAAGTCTGGTACTTTTAAAGAGTCGGTGGGTGATGCAAGACTATTTCGCCGCCCGTGTGCAGGAAGCCACCCTCCGCTCTGGTTCCTCTCTGGCTTAGCTAGCTAATTCTTGAAAAGCCGTCAGTCAAAATGATTCATCGCGTTCCACCTTTAGCGTTCAAACGGAGGCAGTTCAAAGCCTGTAAATTAATAACGTTTTGTACACGAAGGCGTCCGGGAAGAGGCAGCAAGGCGGAGGGGAACGCTGTCTTCTCGGTCCAAAAAGCTTTCAGTTCGCTCCTCCAAAGCGCTTAATGAAGATTGGAAAATGCCGTTTAGATGACAAATATCTACAGATTTGTTTACGTTCAGTCCTGTTCCGACCAACGCCAAAAAAAAAGCCCACAAAATGTCCGAGAAGGACCCAAAAAATCAAGTTTCAGGCGTTCACCGACACCGGGTGGAGTTTAAAGTGTCGGTATTTATTGCATGAACCGAGCAGCACTGAAAAATCAGAGGATTTGGTAACGGTGACGAGCTGCGGAGCCAGAAAGTCAGTCCGTTCCTGGAGGTGGTAGGTTGATGCGAGCCGCTGAGCCAAACCAAACGCCCCCAACACAGAAATACAAGCAGCAAGAGCGGCAATGAGCAGCTTCTACACGGTGTAGATCTACGTCATCAGCAGGCTGATGTCTGAGCCAGCAGCGCCTCTAGGGGTCAGGTGGGAAACTACAACTATAAATGCAAGAAATAAATCCCCCAGAAATGGAAATCTGCACATTCACACACAAACTTGGGGAAAAAACAGAAAGCAATAATACGAAAGTGTAAATCTCACTAAATAAGACATGAGATACTACTGGGATATGATTTTATTTTGAAACAATGTGTATAAAGATAACTGGTTATTCAAAAAAGGGATGCAATGGGTGTGAGCATGCCTTGTATTATTGTGCTGCTGACAAAAAAATGTTTTAATCATTGCCATTAATTATAGTTTTTGCATACAAAATAAAAAAATCCTTGGAGATAATTATCTTTACTTGTGTGCATGGTTTTTACACATTCAAAAAATAAATCACTGTAAGTGAGTTTTAAAGTGTTTCAAACACATTAAAAAGGTGATTTACGCATACATGAACAGTAGACCCATAAAAATTTGTATTAATTTTAATTAAGTTTTAGGGATTTCATTTCAAAAATCCAAGTACTTTCAATTTTTTAAAAAACATCCCCTTCAAAATACAAACATTTCCAAGTCTTGCATGTGAACAAGTGTAAAGTATGAAACTTGTAGAATTGTAAAATGTTAAGTTGTCATTAAATCACTCCAGCTAAGAAAATGTTTGTCTTTTATACGTTCGTTTGATGTCACCTTAGTTTTAGTCAGTTTATTTATTTTAATTTTATGCTTCATTTAATTTTAATATAGGGCTGCTTTCCTGTAAGCTGTAAGTCGGGCTCTTTCCTGTTGAGAGTTGGACTCTGCCGAGGCTGCCTCTTGTCACAGATTCTGTTCATAACTTTACTGGACAGGATTTCTTGGTGCAGCCATGAGAAGATCTGTTTTGGTGGCCTAAGGATCAGGTCTTTGCACTTCGCATACAATGTGATCCTGTTGGCTTCATCAGACAGTGATCGCTGGCTTTTGCTGCAGTGGTTCACAGCAGAGTGTGAAACAGCTGGGATGAAAATCAACTCCTCTAAATCTGATACCACGATCTTGAGTTGGAAAAGGGTAGAGTGCCTTCTGCAGGTCAAGGATGGTGTACTGCCTGGAAGAGCGGATGGTGGAGATGTGCATCACTGAAAAAATGCTTTTTAAAAATTATTTATGATTATAATTGGCCCTTCTGGGTTTTTTGTGCATGCTGAACATGAAAATAATCTCCTACACCTATCTCCTGCATTAGCTTCTGATGGAACATAGACGGTGAAACTCTAGGAATTCAAAAGCCTGACAGACCTACATCACACCATCGCTTAACATTCATGAGTCAAGGGTGTTTGGAGAGATAAAACATCAACTTTGTAATGCAGATGGAGTCAGTGGTGGTCACATTGCTATTATCAAATCCAAGGTGAAACGTCAAAACATCAGGAAACAAGACTCAAATCCTGCCATCTGAAGCTGCTTACTCTTCCAGCCCTGTCACGTCCAACTGGGAGGAGAGCTAAAGGAAAACCCAGAACAGGATGGAGGGACCAAGTTCATTATTATTATTATTATTATTTATTTATTTATTTCAGGCAATGGCACATTTAAGTAAACAAGGTAAATATAATCATATTATACAAAGGAATAAACATACATGGCCATATTATTCTGCCCGAAAGGGAGTGGGAAGAAGAAAACTTATATAATCCCACCCCCAAATCCCCATACAGTCAAAAACAAATAAAAGTTTTGCTATTACTTTGTTTAACTATTTCTTTTTACATTTTTATAGTATGATGGCATTACCACAGGCAACAGGCAATTTACAATTTACATTTTTACATCATACAATTTTACCGTTGACCACAGTTCATGTCAACGATGGTAAAAGGCAAATAACAATTTTAACAGACAATACAGCAGCAATTGTAAGGAACCGTAAGCACATGTTTATGCTTTGAGACAGAGTACAATGACAGATTAATTTAAAGACCCTCATCTCTATATTTTGACCAGACCTGATGTTTATATAACAATTTTAATTGATGGACAGTTCGCCATTGCTTTTTTTGTAAGTCCAGTTTGTTCCAGAGTTTCACTCCACACACACACACACACACACACACACACACACACACACACACACACACACACACATTTCCGAGTGGTTTGGGCTCTCGGCAATGAAAAATAACCAAATCCTCTCAAGGTATAAACTCGCTCTGGAGTTATAAACAATTGTTGCAGGTTAGATGGTAATAATTTATTGAATGCTTTATATAGAACTATTAATGTATTATATTTTTATGAGATCAACAAATTTTAGCAGCTTTGACTGTGTAAATAAATTATGGGTATGTTCCAAAAAACCAACCTTGTGGATGATCCGTACTGCTCTTTTCTGTAATATGATCAAAGAATGTAATGTGTTCTGGTAGTATTACCCCACACTCCAACACAGTACATAAGGTGTGGGAGTACCAAGGTGCAGTGTAAAATACGGAGTGCGTTTCCATCAAGGTATAGTTTTGCTTTGTTCCTCATCTGGCCTTGGGATATCCCCAGAAGAGCTGGCCCAAGGAAAGTTTGGACCTCGGTCTGCTGCCATGGCCCCATAAGCGGAAGAGAATAAATGGATGAGGCTGATTTTATGTTTAATTTTATACTTTGCCTTATTTATAGTGTTACTTATTTTACCATAAAGCAGCTGGGTGATATTCTGCTATATGAAGTTAGACTGGATGAGAAAAATGAAGATCTAGATGTGTTGATGGCTATTTGCTCCTGATCAAATAAGATTGTTTTTTGTGGGAGGAAAATAAAATCACCAGTGCTTCACTATTAAATTCAGCTTCATAACAGAAGTTCTTTCCAAGTGTTGTTCTGTAATCTGAGTTTTACTTTAATTCAAGGATGATGCAAACCTGGAAATGATCACTGGCTGAAAGGCTTCAATCAGTAGAAGAAAAGCGTCATTAAATGGTAAATGGCCTGTATTTGATATAGCACCTTAGGGTCCTAGAACTCCCCAAGGCTCTTTACAAGTCATTCACTAATTCACACCCTGGTGGTGATGAGCTAGTGTAGCCCCAGCTGCCCAAGGGCACACCGACAGAGATGAGACTGCTGAACACTGGTGCCACCAGTCCCTCTGAACACCACAAGCAGGCAAGGTGAGTTACGTGTCTTGCCCAAGGACACTTCATCAGGACTCCGCTGGGAGCAATCCTACAACTCTCCCATTGCTGGTCGAGCCGCTCTACCTCCTGAGCCACTGCTGTCCCATTCAAGTCAATCATATAAAACTTTAAAAATGGAGCCAAATCCTATGGAGTGGAGGGAAATAACACGTTAGAACAAAACAGACAGAGATGCAAGAGAAGAGTATAGGAACATGTTTTATTCCAATTTCAAACATTTAAAGGAGAAGGCTATGTAAAATCATTTTCATGTTTGAATGAGGTTCAGGCAACAGTGGCTGAAATGAAACATACAAAATAAAAGAGAAATATGGCTAAAATACTGTAAATTAAAAACCATTAGGACTCTCCTCTTGAAGGCGATGCAAGTATAGTGTATCTCACCCATCCACTCCCTCCCCAGTCTGACAAACACATGCAAAGAAATCAACACATTTTAAAAACAGCAGTTCATCATTAATCTTAAATATAGAATAATAGTCCTTTTTTGTTACTTAATCATATAGTGTTTTCAAAAGTGGACTGCACAACTTAGCGGTCCTCAGATTTTTCAACATCGGCACTTGTTAAAGAGTCAGGCTTTACAAAGAAAGGGAATTGGCACACTCATTGTACAGAATATACATTTGGTTAACTTTAAAAATAAAATAATAATAATACATTACTTTCTATGTGTACACCACTACATAAACTTCAGCTGTATATATTTTCTTTTTAGGTCGGTCATCAAGTGGTTTTAAATACACATGTTCAGGTCAGTCAGCCGCATAAAAGCAAACAAGAAGCAGATAACTTTCATTTCCACTGTGTGCCCCCCTCTCTGAGGTGGATCTGTAGCTTAAGCAATAAAGTACACACACACACACACACACACACACACACACACACACACACCAACAACAGATACCTTTGTTGCACAAAGGCCCACTGTATGGGTGTAGTTTCAATGCGGTCAACCCATCAAATACACAATCCAATCAAAACAAATCTTTAAGTTAAACATGCAGATTAATTTACTTTCTCAATTTCTTCTCTAAACTCCAAATTGTGATCACTTCAGTACCTTTACTGAAAACATTACAACTGTTTTAATCAATTTAGAAAAGGAAAAAGTACCACAGGGTGCTGGGTTGGGTTCCCAAAATATTTGGTGCAGTTTTTTTGCACTGGATTGTCATAAAAACTGTATATTTTAAGTAAAAAATTTTTTAAATAAATAAAAAGGAGTAGAGATGAAGGATTTCAAATGTTATACCCAGCTCATCTGAAAAATCTAATTCCTGCTAGTTTATCCATGTGACTGTCACTGTTAGCCCCATATTAAGTCCTGATGTAAATCTATTCACACATCAAATGGTGAAATCCACACCCTGGTGAAATTTTTTGTTATCTTAACAGAAGCCAACTCAAGTTTGCAGGACAGTAAATCATTTGTAAAAAAAAAAAAAAATAAAATAAAAACCGCAAAAGGCCACACACACACACACATACACGCACACACAAAACAACAATCTGCCAGAACACTTCCTGAAAGCCAACAAAGTTTTAAAAACAAATACATTATCACCATGTTACCTCCGCAGTGCAGCACAACACAATATTCTTTTCTAAACAAAGCTCAAGTCTGTCAGTTTATTATCATACGCTTTCTTCAAAATTCACAACTGTAGCATCAACAGAACTTAGAAGCATGTATGAAAAGCATCATGACGAATGAACCAAGGAGGCTTTGAAATAATGGTTTAAGCACCAAAGATGAACTTAAAAACAACCTTCTGGGAATGTAAGTTCATGTAGACATAAAACTGCAAAGAAGCACAGCAAAGTATTCAGTGTTACATCATATTAAAAATTGAAGCTAAATCAAATGTGGCACTTAGCAAAAAATAATGACCTGTCCTTCCTTCATTAAACGCTTCTTCAGAACGTGGACAGTGAAAACACCATGGCTTCGTCAACAAGTGCACATAATACAGAATATAACCCCACCCCAACCCCGATTTGGTCTTACAAGTTCGCTGTAGAAAATCAGACATGTAAACCATTCAATAAAAAGAATCTAAAACATAGAAAGTACCGCAGAATGAGCAGATAAATGATCTGGTTTTTAACACAAAAGGCTCATTAAATGTGCAGATCAAAACACACCCTGACTCCCACCAGAGAAGTGCCAAAGTTCAACACGTTGAATAAGGAGGCAAATATGCTCATGATGGAAAACGTACCAGTCGAGCTGAGACTTGAAACGAGCGACTGGATCTGGAGGGAAACCCGTTTCCTCCTGACTTTAGCCGCTCTCTGCACCCCTCAGCCGCCTTTCCTCGACCCGTTCACTGAGATTTGCAGCCATCACCGGTTGATTCAGCTGCCAATGTTTAGGAAGTGCACCACTTGCTCCATGCCAACCCATAGAATCCTCTCGTGTCTAACAAAGCTGCTAGGAGTAGCCCTTGTGATGAAAAAGGGATGAAAACTTACCTGAATTACATCATGAAGACAAAGAAATAAAGCAATCATCTGCTCCCGCCCTAAAGAAATATTTGAACAGCTATCGGGCAAGATGCACAACAGGATTTGCAACAAGATCACATCCTTAAAAATGTTTTTCAAAATTTGCAAGCATCCTTAAACAGTAAATATTTAACCATCAGTGGGATTTTTTTTCCTTCTTTTAGTTGGTTTCCATTTGCATAAAGCACACACCTGACATGGAAATTGCTTTCTGTCACCAAACACATCAAAACTCAACTGCAAGAACAAAATATATGAAGTATCATTAGAAAGATAGAACACATGTCCAGAAAATAGTTTGATATTTTACAGCAGTACAAAATTTCCTCAATCAGCACAGTTGGAAAAAGGTTTGAGCTCAAATTAGGAAGTCTCAATTCACTGAAACAACATCACAGACCTGACTGATAAGTTAAACCCAAAAAGACCCATTCGCTCTGTGTTCATTTATCAAATTTTGTCTGATATATAAAAGAAAAACCCAGAGAGAAGCCCTACGGAGGACCGTGACCAACTTGTGACCGAAGCTTAAATTGGCAGCACAAAAAGCTTTATTTAATCTACATCTGATCATTGTTCTGATCTGGGGGAAAACATCTCACCATTAAACAAAAGAAACTGAATTACAGTACTATTACAAATGCAAATCAGACAGTTAACATATAAAAAATTAATAATAGTAATAAAAGCCACACAACGTGGCCCGTTATGCAAACATCTAAATGATTCACTTCATATTTTTATGATACCGGTTGAGGATGAACACAACACTGGCAACAGAACTGGATTTTCAGAGCTCAGCTTTATAATTTGGCAAACAAATTCATTAGTCTAAAGTATAAATACTACATGTGATATCATTTTTGCTTTTTAACACTAATTTAAAAGAATACAATGTAGGTCGTCTTCCACGAATAGTCAGTCGTCACTTCGGCTTTAACCCAGACAAAAGCAGAAACGATAGAAACCAGGAAGATGTTGAGCATTTCTGTAAAGCCCTCGCCTTGCGTGAGCGGCCTGAATACGTTATTTACATTCAATAGAGTTCTCGTGCTCTGGTGTGGGTCAGGGAGATTAAAATAAAAATCAAGTTCCAGGGCAGGAAGTACCTCACATCACCCAGCACTGCCTGTTTTAATATTTTCAAAATGAGTTACACTTTGTAGATGAGCAGAGTCCAGAGGTCTGCAGCCCGGCCTTGTGACCTCATGCTGTAGTGTGGAGCATGCATGGACAGAATGCCCTTTGTCCAGAAAAGCTTGTTCTACTCAAAGAAGGCCCTCCACCCATCTCAAACACTCAGGCATCGGTGATAATGTAGTGCAGAAAATGAAAAAAGAAATGAATGAAGTATGCCTCACAGCAGGCCAAAGGAGGGGCAAGGGGAGTATTAAAGCTCCAAAAAATACAAGAAATGAGTGTTATAATCACGTGTTCCTGTGCAGAAGCAGCAGTTAGTAAAACCACCTGACAGATTCTTTAAAACATCAACAAACCCCCACAGAACGGAGTGGAAAATAAAGCAGATAGTGTTGATCTGAATGAAGCAACACTCATCTCTGTGAGCAGCTGTGTGTTTCACGCAGATGTGCATCTCTGGAAGTTAAATCCGAAGTGTGTGTGAATGTGTATGTGTGTGTGTGTGTGTGTGTGTGTGTGTGTGTATGTTTAGAGACGTCGGCATCTTTCTGGTTTTCCTTCACACCAGGTTGTATTCTTTGAGGTTGAGCTGCAGGATGGTGTCTTTGACGGCTGCAAAGACGAAGCGGATGTTCTCCGTGTCGGTGGCGCACGTGAAATGTGAGTAGATGATCTTGTCGCTGTCTGGGTTCAAGTGCACAAACATCTTCAGGATGAACTCTCGGCCTGCTTGAGCATCACGTGGTGGACCTGGACAAAAATAAATCATGCTGTGATTTTTAACACTGGTTTATTTATTGTTGCGGGTGTGTGAAACAAAAACGTTACAGATGTGTGTAGCACATAACTACAGCCACTAGGTGGCAGTCTATAATAAAGCAATATAAACTGTTCAGTGGTGATGACATTAGAAATTACTTTTTCTATAAAGAAAGCAGTAAAGTTACCATCAAACTCTGGAAAGTAGTCCACCAGGTGTGAGTAGGTGATCTTCTCCTCCAGCAGGTCCTTCTTGTTGAGGAACAGGATTACGGAAGAGTTTTGGAACCAGGGATATGTGATTATGGTCTTAAACAGAGCTTTACTCTCCTCCATACGGTTCTGATGTGGAGATGGGAGGGGAGACAATGACGACACGTCAGGTAATGACACAATCAGACAACAAAATTCCTCCTAAACATTTCCCAGAAAGTTAAGAGAGGTGGTGTGCATGGTTATTTCCCAAGTCTGGACTAACGTGTCTTTGGATAAACTTGAGGGTGAAGCTGTTTCGATGCACAGAGTCGACTTGAAAACTGTTTGGTGTGGAAACCCAGCTGTCATATGACCAGGTCAGAGGAAGCAGAGGCTGACTGCATTAGCTTTATTAGCAATAATTCTCTCTCTGAACTGTCTGAAGATCCTAAGATAGCATGGACTGCTGGTGCCATTTAAAAAGGCCACCGGTGTTTAGAGACAGCGTTTCAAACTGTGTTTATGGATACGACTGAAAACAGTGGTTATAAAGGCTACAGCAGGGCAGGTCGTGTGCTACAGTATGTCAATTTAAGGTGATTCCTTTTTGCACACTTTAATAATAACGGATTACATTTATGTAGAGCTTTTTTAGGCACTCCGCACTTTCCATTTTTCACGCACGCACACATGTAGCGTTCACGTGGGCCACGCAGCTCTGAGTTTTTAAAGTTGTGAAGGCTGAACCATGGCTGGACTGTCCCAGTATTTACCCCTATCTGCAAGTAGGGAAATATTCATGGTAGCTTCTGAAGATTTTTGGCCACTGCATACCCCCATACCCATTACCTGGTTATGCAGGGGGGGTTAGACCGTCTCTCCACACACTCAGGACAACATACAAGACGTCAATTATGGTCTAAACCTTAAACACCAGCATCCTCCCAAATTTAAAATCCACAAAGAACATTAACTGGTTATACAGTGGGGCAAAAAAGTATTTAGTCAGCCACCGATTGTGCAAGTTCTCCCACTTAAAATGATGACAGAGGTCAGTAATTTACATCATAGGTACACTTAAACTGTGAGAGACAGAAAGTGAAAAAAATCCATGAATTCACATGGCAGGATTTTTAAAGAATTTATTTGTAAATCAGGGTGGAAAATAAGTATTTGGTCAATAACAAAAATTCAACTCAATACTTTGTAACATAACCTTTGTTGGCAATAAGAGAGGTCAAACGATTACTATAGGTCTTTACCAGGTTTGCACACACAGTAGCTGGTATTTTGGCCCATTCCTCCATGCAGATCTTCTCGAGAGCAGTGATGTTTTGGGGCTGTCGCCGAGCAACACGGACTTTCAACTTCCTCCACAGATTTTCTATGGGGTTGAGGTCTGGAGACTGGCTAGGCCACTCCAGGACTTTCAAATGATTCTTACGGAGCCACTCCTTTGTTGCCCGAGCGGTGTGTTTGGGATCATTGTCGTGTTGGAAGACCCAGCCACGTTTCATCTTCAAAGCTCTCACTGATGGAAGGAGGTTTTGGCTCAGAATCTCACGATACATGGCCCCATTCATTCTGTCCTTAACACGGATCAGGCGTCCTGTCCCCTTTGCAGAAAAACAGCCCCAAAGCATGATGTTCCCACCCCATGCTTCACAGTAGGTATGGTGTTCTTGGGATGCAACTCAGTATTCGTCTTCCTCCAAACACGACAAGTTGAGTTTATACCAAAAAGTTCTACTTTGGTTTCATCTGACCACATGACATTCTCCCAATCCTCTGCTGTATCATCCATGTGCTCTCTGGCAAACTTCAGACGGGCCTGGACATGCACTGGCTTCAGCAGCGGAACACGTCTGGCACTGCAGGATTTGATTCCCTGCCGTTGTAGTGTGTTACTGATGGTGACCTTTGTTACTGTGGTCCCAGCTCTCTGCAGGTCATTCACCAGGTCCCCCCGCGTGGTTCTGGGATTCTTGCCCACCGTTCTCATGATCATTTTGACCCCACGGGATGAGATCTTGCGTGGAGCCCCAGATCGAGGGAGATTATCAGTGGTCTTGTATGTCTTCCATTTTCTGATAATTGCTCCCACAGTTGATTTTTTCACACCAAGCTGCTTGCCTATTGTAGATTCACTCTTCCCAGACTGGTGCAGGTCTACAATTCTTTTCCTGGTGTCCTTCGAAAGCTCTTTGGTCTTGGCCATAGTGGAGTTTGGAGTCTGACTGTTTGAGGCTGTGGACAGGTGTCTTTTATACAGATAATGAGTTCAAACAGGTGCCATTAATACAGGTAACGAGTGGAGGACAGAAAAGTTTCTTAAAGAAGACGTTACAGGTCTGTGAGAGCCAGAGATTTTCCTTGTTTGAAGTGACCAAATACTTATTTTCCACCCTGATTTACAAATAAATTCTTTAAAAATCCTGCCATGTAAAATTCATGGATTTTTTTTCACATTATGTCCCTCACAGTTGAAGTGCACCTATGATGAAGATTACTGACCTCTGTCATCATTTTAAGTGGGAGAACTTGCACAATCGGTGGCTGACTAAATACTTTTTTGCCCCACTGTATTTTTATATTAACAGAAACATTACTGGATCATTTTGTGTCTTGTTTGAAAACATTGACATTTGTAAAACCTATTGTCTGGTCCTACTAGTCTGATTAAGCTTCCCAGTGAAGCTGCGGTTGATTTCATGCTGCAGAGCTGATGTTTTAAGTAAGGTTGTAATCTGAATGTTCTGAAAAATCCACTATCGCCTCTTGTGTTCCTTAGCTTTGATGAAGATGTCATTAGCTTTAAAGAAAAGCCTCATCAGCAGCATTATCTGCAGCCATTCCTCTATTTTCACAGAATTCTGTCCTACCTGAAACTCAAGACGGATCGTTCGGAGCTGCTTCAATCAATTAAATATGCTGCCATTAGTCCGGTTGCTAGGGGACATAGTGCATCTCTTCCTGTTACTCTGCATGGATTCCAAACCTGAAATGTTTTAGATGCTTTCTCAAATGTTAGAATGGCTGGCACTTTCATTTCAGATTTCCTGGAGACATTTTTGACTCAGCTCTTTGTAAAATGTCCAGAAAAATCAGCAGAAGAGACAATGTGCCAACGTAGCAGAGAATCAGCCACAGCATTCGCTGCCAGTGTGCTTGTGTAAGAGCTGGCATGAGTTGCTGCAGCTTTTTTGTTGTTGTTGCACTTTTCTGTTAACCTGCATGTTTCTTTCCACTCAATCCAACATTACAGAAACAGAGACGTTTGGTTATGACGTCGTTGACACTAGGAGTCTCATTTGTTATTTTAAGTCTTGTCAAGAGGAAGACGATGCACTTGGGGCTCCTTGTTCTCCCTCCAGCGTAATCTTAGATTCAGCCCACCACCTCCCTCGTGTTTCCAGCTGAAAGAGCTCAGCTCCCAGTTTAATCACAGGAAGAAAAAAAAACTACAACTGCTTTCTAGTAACGCTACAGCAGAAGTGACAGTAAAGCCTCATCGGGACTGTAGGGTGTTAAAGTTCTCACCTCGTTGTCCGACTCCACCAGAACCTGGTCGTACTCGCTGAGGGCCACCAGAAACATGATGGACGTGACGTTCTCAAAGCAGTGGATCCACTTCCTCCTCTCTGACCTCTGACCTCCGACATCCACCATCCTGACAGGAACAAGGTTGGAATAATTCTATTGCACATTTACGCTTTTTCATTTCCATCCTAAAGATGAAACTTCCCGAATTGTTCGGTAGCTCAGACAACATTTGAACCATGGAAATGAGGATCCACATGTCCCAAATCAAACTATTTCATTAATGTTCATAAAAATGTCCAAAAAGGGTTCATAACGCAGCCACTGATGAGGGAACACTGAAGTGATTCAGGCAAAGATCTGGGTCAAATCAGGACAGGAGGTTGATTTTTTTTAAAAAGAAGAACATTTAGATAAACTTTCCTTTCCACTCAGAAGTGGCACGTTAATATATTTGAGGAGGCGACTTTCTCTAATAAATACTAAAACGTTTACGTACAGTTAAAAACAACCAGTTTGCATCGTGGATTTAAACAGAACAAATGGGACATGAGCATTCTCAGCGTCAATTACAGAGAGGACAGAGCTAAATGCTCCCAGGTGAAGCCACCAGGAAGTAGAAATGTGCACCAAAGACCAACATGCAGGAGAAATGAGTTGAGACGCAAAAGAAGAAATACTAATAAGGCGTTAAAAGAAATCAGAGGCTGGAGGAGAACAGAATTAGAAGAATAAAATTGTGGCATTCAGAAAATAATAAATCAACAAACTATCAGTGTTTCATGTTCAAATGGAGAAGAGGAGCAGGAGCAAACAACACATTAATCTGTAAGACTGCTCCTATAAGTTAAACAGCATTTACGCTGAACCCTAATTAAAAAGAATGAAAACAAAACATAAGCGGCTTGTCTATCAAAGACTTCCTTGTTGCAACGATCCCAGCCAAGTGCTAGCTGAGCCTGTTTTCTTTAACGGAGCTGGAGGAATGCCTCGTGCAGTGTCTGCTTCAAATACCATTACAAGGACCTAACAACAATAATCACAAAACCCCCTCAGTTTTCCCCACTGAAGACGCACCTCACACTGACTGATGACTCCTAATCCTTCTGAGCTCACCACACAAAACCAACGTGACTTTGTTTATTCAGTGATTCAGGAGAACAGGCGAGCCGAGCCGATCAGCCAAGCTGCTGGGAACCTCTCTAACTCGGCCTTATTGCAAGCAGAGATATTTCTAGCCTGCTGAGTGTAGGAGGGAGCTGACATGATGGCTTCCTATCGATTTGCACTTTTTTTTGTAATCGCTCTTTCCTCTGTCCATCTCCAGCTCAAAATTTTTCTTTTTGTTTTTTTAGGACAATATGAAGCTGTTGCACAGACTGATGGCCGGTTTTAAGATGGTGTTTGCCGTGTTCTGCACCCTGTGCCTTTGCATTCATTACACAGGAATAACTATTGTGTTTGTCTGTTTATGAGGGATAAACATGTCCGCTGTGGCCCGCACCTGCTCATTTATCATTTTCATCAGAAATTAAAATGTATTAAAATAAATGTGACTGGACTTGGCTGAAATTTGGGTTGGTACCGTCTAAACAGGCTGACTTACTGTCTCTACCCAAAAATTGAATACTAATGGTTAAGATCTTCTTTGGAAATTAATAATTCTTGGAGTCAGCTATTGGAACATACAGGTGAAACTTGAAAAATCTGAATATGATGCAAAACTTTTATTTCAGCAATTAAATTTAAAGTGACAGTGTGTATTTTCCCTGGCGATAGGGGGCAGTACATAACTAAACAGGTTTCCCCCAGAAAATTAGTTTTGCCTGGTGGCTTTGGCCGGGTGGGGGGTGTTGCGCGCTCCGTCCCGCAGCACTCCTCCAAGAGCGCGGGGGGGGGGGGGGGGGGGGGGGGGGGGGGTCCCACACGTTCTGCTGCTGTTTCTCACCAGTATCAGCTGATGGAGGGCTCTAGTTTCGTTGCACCGTTTGTGTCAGCGGACACGGTAGGGACGGGGAGGGGGGCAGGGCATGACGCTTAGCCTGACGGGTGGGCAAGAAAAGCCTGGCGGCCCGCCAGGCTTATAAAGCGCTGGGGAAACCCTGCTAAATCACTGCAAGCAAGCATTATTTTTGTGTTCAAAAAAGGACTTACCAACGGATAGCCATTAGGGTCAAAAATCCCTGGGAGTGCAACCTCCAGCAAAATAACAAGAACATCAGACTTTCTTTCATCACTGGCAACGAGTGAAGAGATAAATGAGTAAAACAACATTTACTAATGGCAAAAGTTTTGAAACTGTTTGTTACAAATCAGTAAATGTGTTTTGTCCTCATGGGTTCCCATAGAGGGAAACATGGCGTCTAATACGGCGTTGCCCAGAAAATTGGGGTCTGTTCCAATTAATTGTTTTCTTTGACCAAGGAAGGATAGTGTCCTCGTAAGCAAGGCGCCTGGCCTCTCAAGGCGATGTCTTGCGAGGCCAGGCGCCTTGACACTGAAAAACAACCTTAGACCCGCTCCCATGTATTTTTGACCTGATTTTTATTGTTATGTTACGAAGACATCAATATTTTTCATTACTTGGGCAACATTGACTTCATTTTCGACAATGTTTCGATGGATATTTCCAGAGATTAACAGTCAAGCCTTTACTTGTTATCATTGGGATGATTATGCTTACAGTTTATGAAACCACACATTAACTCATTCGCTGCCAGCCATTTCCTGATCAGTAAAGCCCTTCGCTGCCAGCGTTTCTCACCATTTTTACTGGTTTTTAAGAGTCACAGAACATTGTGCGCTAGGATGATGTCGACGCCAAAACAACCACAACAAAGCGGAGACTCACCTCTTACATCAGGAAGAATAAGCACATTTCGAGCTTTATCCGTTCTTTCATAATCCGTTGTTGAATTGTAATCAGCAGAAGCTTTTCCGGTTCGCACCTCACTTTTTTTACAGCAGCGGCCCAAAACGATCTCCTAACACATGGATTTTCTGCTCACTGATTGTTACAACCCCAACCAGGTCTAGGAAATCCTGGGAGGCTTAACAGTAAAAGGTGGATAAAACAGGACCCAAACCAATCACCTTAAATCAAACAGTTTATTATTAACAAAAGGTGTCCCAAAGGGAAAGGAAACTAAAACAACCACCTGTAAGGAAATAAATAACTCAAATAATATGACTGCTAATTTAAAGTTACCTACTACAGGGTATCTGCAGGTGTAAGGGAGCCAAATTTAAGACTTTTTAAGACCTTTTTTAAGGCCACTTTGACCAAATTTAAGCAATTTTTAAAATTAAATTTAAGCTATAATTTCCAGCTATTGCCTGGAACCGGTGCTAACCACGTCGCGAACGTGGGATTAGCCATCCAGTTACCATTAAACTTGCACTTCCCTGTGGCGCAAGCTCCCACTAGCTTAACCAGCTAATGTGCTCATCTAAAAATAGCCCCCTTTCACAACCAACTGAATGTGTACGGTTCCGCTTACATCATACACAAAAAAATGCTGAACACTAACTAGAAATTCACGAAATTTTTACAGAATTAAAAGAATCTTGTTTATTGGGTCTTTGGTAATTTAAGACCTTTGGAAACTGTATTTAAGGATTATTTGTCATTTTTAAGGATTTTTAAGGCCTTAAATTTGGAAAAGCAAATTTAAGACTTTTTAAGACTTTTTAAGGACCCGCGGATACCCTGTACTACCTCTGTCCCAAAACAAAACTTAACCTTGCCTTACCCAGGAGGAGGAAATCTCAGGATCTTACAAATAAGAGCTGGACAGAGAAACAAAAGAAAGCGCCCCACCTGACTCCGCTTACTAAAGAGGATTGGTGGGGGAGCTTTACAAACCAGCTCTGTTAATATGTCCAGCCAACCCAAGTCGCCTCTGAAGCCATCATTAAGCCAAAAAGTCCTTCTCTCTCTCAGCCTCCAGTTTGTCTGCTTCTCTTCTCCTCCTGAATGGGTAGGCTTTATGCTGCAGCTGGGTGATTGCAGATGACTTGCAGCTGAGCTCTGAGGGAAGAGAGCTCATCCTGATGGTGATGGCTGGAGGGAAAACCCAGAGATCGTAACACTGAACATGTGACGTGTGACGTATGCGGATGAAGATCAGCTTTAGAGCTGAGATGTTTGTTCTCACGGTGCGGGGGTTCAGTCCGATGCCCACACAGTAAAAAAAATGCGAATGGCATTTTTTTTTGGCAGTGAACGGCTGGATTTAAAATGATGACTTTAGTCATCAATGGCAGTGAATGTGTTAAGTCTCAGACAACTAGAACAGTGCGAGTCAATGTGTCACACTCTAATCAGCTAATGAATCCTGCAAAGGGTTCCTGAGCCTTTAGACAGTCTCTCAGTCTAAGCTGAAATACTGACATAAATGGAGTTTTGCACCATATTCTATGTTTGAGTTTCTCCTGTACATTATAACACCTAAAATATATTTGAATAAATACCTTTTAAAATGCAGCAAATTGGTAACGTTACACTGTAACAAGGACATGTTAGCAAAACAAATTCCAGTTGGAATGATTAAAAATCAAACTCAGCAGTATTTTGATTTGTTTCCAGAAAGCAGGATGGATCAGGAGCTTCTGAGTACTAAACGAGGACATTAGGCATGTTTTATGCAGGGTAACACAGATGTAAGAGGGAATATGGTACAAACGTGAGGATAGACAAAGTAAAGCAGGTCGTCTTCTACCTGAAAATGATGCTTTGCAAGTCGAAAGGGTATTCAATGATCCCAGTGGTTGGGATTCGAACCCTAAGCACGTCCTGTTGGGTTGGTAGATAGGACGATTCAGCAATACGATCCAGATCGGTTAAATAGCTAGAGACAGGAAGTAAAAATAAAAACAAGAGAGAGAGAGAGAGGCAGGAAAAAAGAAAGTGAAGCATACCAGCAGATAAAGCACAATCCTCCCTAAAGCAAGTGCATCAGTAACCACCAAAAGATCGTTCAGGAGAGTTATGGGTGGATGACATTCCACTAAACCTCAAAAGTTCTTAGAAATTCTTCCTTGATGGCAGCTCGCAAAGACAAAAACATTCACAGTTTTTAAAGGCTGGGCCTGACAGCGATTAGCTTTTAGGTGATAGACCCACTTTAGCATTTGTTTGAGTAGAAATAAAGTTGGGGGCCACTTTAGCCACTCTTAGCCTGGTCTTTGAGAGAATACCATCAGGACCCCTGTTAAAGTGCTGAGCCCCTCATGCAGCATACGGTAAACGAAGACAGCGACGGTTTCTAGCTAGCTGTTTTACAGCCGGCCAACGTCAGCAAGCTGCACTTAGAACCAGTACCTGAAGATAACATTCTCCAGATCAAACGGGTACTCAATGATGCCGGTGGTAGGCACTCGCACACGCAGGACGTCCTGCTGATTGGGCACGAACCCTGGTGTTGATATTCGTTCTAAACTGTTAAGATAACTGCGAGGAGGGAGGGAACATATGACAAGGATGCACATGTACACACACACAAACCCATCTGAGTAATACAACAGCACATCCAGATAATATCTTACATAGAAATACAAAAATCAACAGCTTTAAAGACATTATTAATGAATACTGATCAGATTGGATTAGGGCTGAACGATTTTAGAAAAAGACTGAATTGCAATTTTTCTAGCAGAAATTGCGATTTTGGTTCAATTCACAAGTTTCTGCAAACAAAGGTCCAACACTAGCTTGCCGAGCCATCCTGTAGATTAAGTGAAAAGATGGTCTAGATTCTAATCTAGTGCGTCATTCACATTAATATTTACTATTTAATCATACAATAAAAACAGTTAAAGCTATTAATATTTTCTCCCATTATTATCTTTTTTAATATTATTTTAATGTGTTTGTGAAGCAACTTGCGCTTGTAATTTCTTATCTAGAGGAGCTTAATAAAAACGTTCTACTCCAAAAATGCATGGAGGAAATCTGCAGGTAGAAAAAGCTTTTAAATGTATTAAATAAGAAAAAATGCACACAGATTTTCCTGCATTACCAAGGCAAACCAAGCTTTAGAAATCGGCCTGAACCTGCTCCGATGTGGGAGGAGTCTCTCCCTTACTCAACTACGTTCTCTCTCTTTCTCTCTCCCTCTCTGTCCCGGGCTCACCTACAGTGCCATTATTATTGGCTCTAGCAACGCTGTGTGTGGAAACATAAAACAGGGAAATAACCTGAACATGCAGCTCTGTCAGCTGTAGAGTTGGGCGAGTCGGCTCTGGATGATACACCCCACCCCTCTCCCCTGCGCTGACTTTTGCCGCTGCCATAACACAGGGGGGAAAACCCCTGATGTAAAAAAAAAAAAAAAGTTACACAACTGATCCTGGATCAGTCAAAATCGCTAAAGCCGCAGCTTTGGTGGTCGCATGATCGTGCTGTTTGAAAATGCAATTTCGGTCCAAAAACGATCGATCGTTCAGCCCTAGGTTAAATTCAATTGCCTGATTCATTTGGATTCATTCATTTCCGGGACGAAAGATTTAAACGTTAGCCTAAATATCAGCAAAACACTTCTTTAACTCCTCATTCATCTGAACCTTCTACCCTTCTTTCACATGAATCCACTGCAGGGTAGACAGAAAGCAGCTCAGATGGTTCTGCGGCAACACCCCCACACATTACAGAGTTAAATAATGACTCGTTATGGTAGACTAACGTATCAAAGACCTACTATTTGGTTGAGTCGGAGAGCTGGTACTCTCTCCTGCGATCGTATGCCTCCTGGATGCCAGGGTCGGTCCACAGCTGCTTTATCGCGCTGATGTACGGCTGCTCGAACGTTGTCACCTTTTCTACGTCCACTTCCCGCACCAGCAGGGAGTTATTCTAACAACACGCAACAAAAAATAGGACTAAGCACTAGATAATGTACCAACATCCTAAAGTGAAGTTGTCCTTCAAGTCACACTGAACTGTCCTTTTAAAACCACTAAGTAATTACCAAACTCACCTTGCTCTGCTCATACTTCAGGGGGATCTTGAGGGTCTCTGTAGCACGGATCATTGCCTGCATTGAGGTGAAGATGTTCTGGTAGACCAGTTTGGTGAAGCCCTTTTTATCCTCATCTGTGTAGCCTGTCCCATGGATTATTCTCATCTGCTTTATGAAAGTACTTTTGCCACTTTCTCCAGTTCCTAAACACAGAGATGAGACAATGGCAAGTTAGCAAACCACCAAATTAACACTGTCCTCATAGAAGCCAGGAAGTAGACAGAAAGGAATGCTGTCCTAGATGCTTAGCTCACAACAGGAAACAACTCTAATGTCTTATAAATGAGAATTCATATGAATGTGAGAATTAGAATAAACCATGACATAAAAACACAGCCCTCGCCCGAATAGTATGAGATAGTAATTTCAATGCCAAAAACGTTTTAACTAGTCAAATAAAGCCCCTCTTTCAGAAATGATCTGTGCCTAGTTCAAAAATAGCATCTATTTTAATACATCTCTGTAGTGTGGTAATAAATAGGTATGTGTTTTAAACAAGCTGACCTCGTCTATCCACCCACACCCTGGTGTGCAAAGAAATGCACTGTTGTGTGTTCCCGGGCAAAAATCCAAACAGCAGTGCCAAAACAGTTTGTTCATATAGCGATCAATAGATGTTAAGACTGAGTTACAAATGTTTCTATATTCAGTGTTTGTAGTTTACTTTTAGACAAGACAAAGATATAACTGATACGGTTAGATTAGAACGATAAAATAAATTGTCTTTAGTCATATTGGTCTGAGGGACGTGAGACAGAGTTACCACAAAGAGACAACAACAGACTTTTCCCAATTTGACTCAAGCAGACAGAAAACTGGTTTACAGATACAGAAAAAGGGACTTCACAGATCCCTCTTCCACATGATAGCTTTTACTCATTCTATGGACACATTATCTAACAAAAACCACAGCTCTGGGCTCAAAGAAAGTGAATGAAAAAATAATAATTCATTAAACAAGAACTTAAAGGTACATGCTGGTGGAAGCCAATTTCAACCACTAATTTGACCACACAGTGCTCTCTTCAGAGTGAACTTCCTCTTTTCCACCCCCAAATCTCTTCCTCCACTACACATCCATTGATCTCCTCTCCCAACACTTGCATCTGAGTCACTGCAGTACCAGCTACATACATTCTCCCCGTCTGAAAGATTTGCGTTTTTAGACTAATCCAGACTAATATTCTTCCACCCTTTAAAAAGAGAGTTGTTGTGCTGAACAGTAAACTTAAAAAAACTGATGTTGTTTGAAAGTTATTTATAGCACATTTCTAACACAAACGTGCAAAAGCAACATTTGAAAATGAAACTCCAAAACATATTCCCTAGAAGCACCAACTACAAAAAAAACCTGGCCCCTCCCACATTAATTTTCTACCAAGCCCCCACAATGCGGGTCTGAAATTTAGGCCAACGCAGAAGTGAAATAAATTGCAGTTCCACCCTCATCCGCTGGCTGGTGTCAGAAGCGAGCAAATCCTCATTGACTCTTATGTTAAAAATACCAATTTCACAGCAGAAATAAACATGTTTACAGCTTGGTTACAGGTTGTTGGTTTAATTGATCTAGTTTATACTCATGACAACTATGAAGGGGGTGAATTTTTTTGTCACTCTTCTGTTTAAGTGTATTAAATGCCTAAAATTCTGTATAATTAATGAGCATCAGACCCACGTGACCGCAGCATCAGATCCACGTGACCACAGAGCTAGCTCCGTGGAAAGGCCTCAGTAGCCTCAGTCTGAGCCTCGGTCTCGCCTGAAAACTGTTCCGCGATATTTAGTCTTGGAACTTAGACCAGTAGTTGTAGCGTTTGTGTATTCTTTTTTGGATATTTTTTGTGCAATTGTCGGACAAAATGACTTGCTGTGGTATTAATTGCACTAAAAGAGCGTCCAAGGAGTCTCCACTTCATTTTTTTCGGTAAGTAAAATTATATTTATGTATTTTAGGTCACTGCCTCTTTTGCACTAGCTGAGCTTATCAACGTAGCTAGCTAACTACCATTTTAACATGTACTGTTTCACCATGAAATTTAGATGTAATACGGTAAAATAATTAACAGGGTATATGTCGATGGGTGTAAAACCCAGTGCATTCAACATAAAAATGGGTTGAAATATGACATGTTGGTGGAGCTCTCGGAGGGAGACTTCTGTGTTCCATTCTTCCACACGGTTCTCCCCAGCGGTCAGCCCGGCGCATCTCTGACCGCTTCGGCCCCTGTCTGCTGCGTGGGCTGACCGCTTGTGGAGCTCTCGGACTCGGAGAGAGACCTGACCACAGAAATACTGCAGCTCGGTGAGTTGGTTGATAGTGCTTGATGTTAGTGTCCAGAAGTCTGTATGCCATCAGATAAACTTGCTCGTTTTTAATATTTTTTGCATATTTGTAAAACAGTGGTGGTGGTGGGCGACTAAATAACTAATTTGTCCACAAAGAGCCGCGACCGGGTGCCGTGTTCTCATGGGAACTAGTGCAGCTTAATAAAATGGAAATTAGTTAATAAAATTGATTATTAAAAGGTTCATATCCTATCCAATAAGGTGATAAACTCAAGTGTTTGGTTTTATATATATTTTTAATAAAGTATGCATTTTTTATTAGTCTTTATCCTAATTTTAGACCTTTTACTACAGGCCATGATAAGCTATTAAGTATTTTAAACCCATATGCTTAAAGGGACTTTACGGAGTTTTGAATTTTTATGCTCGTGATTGCCCCCTCAGGCCAAAAGCGTAACGGCAGCTTCAATAGTAGGCTCTTGCACGAGGCGTGCATGCTGTACGTGCACACTCCTTAACGAAAATAACAGCTGAGACAGTCAGCTCTGTGTGTGTGTGTGTGTGTGTGTGTGTGTGTGGATCGGAGGACAGAGGACAGGAGAATGCGCAGCTAATTAATTAAATAATTTGGTTCTGTAACTTCCTCTTCAGCACAACCGACAAAGTTTTAAGATGGGTCAGTCCTCCTGCATGCTCTTGAAAAATTGTTTCAAATGAAAGTTGAACCCACATCTTTTTTATCTGTGAATTCAATGCCGTTCGGCGAGTCTCAAATAAAAATGTGGGCATCTTACTGTAAAAAAAAAATACCATTAATGTAAAAAAAGAAACTCTAAATAAACTATGTTCACATCCAGAATCGAACCCGGGTCTTCTGCACGAAAGTCCGACGTCTTACCAGGCGAGCTAACATGCCATTGACATCTCTCGTATCTGTACCATTTAAGAACGGTTTGGAGGGCTATGACTGAGCGTGAACGCGCATGAAGCAGCCTGCTCGACCCGAGCAGCTCTCTTTTTCTGTGATTTTACAGAAAAACAGGCAATCACAGTAAAAATGCCAGGGCTCATTTTACAGGACCAGGGCATTGCAGGAGAATGTATTAAGAAGAAATTTATTATTTCTATACATGTTTTGGCTGTCAAACTTCCATAATGCCCCTTTAAGTAGTTCTTTCTATGAAGTTTACCTCTAAGTGATCCAGAGAGGCTTGAACTTTGGGTAAGCAACCAAAGAAGAGAGTGCTGGACTCCCAATTCACACTCCCGCTTGTGCAGTGAACACTCTGAGAGTCATCACTTCACCACGGACTCCAGGGTACAAACACATTACTTCATATTTTGGTTATGATTGAAAAAATTGAAGCATTAGCTGTATAATATACAGATGTTACATTGCTATGTAACAAGAAAAAAATTTCCCCCTCTCTTGAACTGTCTGTGACTAGGGCTGTTTTGATGGGAAACAATCACCTTATTAATTTCCATATAATTGTATGGATATTTATTCAGATAAACAAATAAATTTTTTGGTCAGTCTTCAATGTGTAACTTTATGTATTGGGATGAATGAAAAATATTCATTTTAAACTAAAACGTTAGGCATTTAAGGAGAAATTAACAAAATAATAAACATTCTACTGGTGTCAAATAAATCAAACTGTAATTAAAATATATATTTTCAAAGTCTGGACTCTGGATAAAATCTAACAACATATGCTTTATAAATAACAAACACTCTCCACATTAGGAGAGGCTTTACCTGTTGGTCATCCTGGGAGAGAGGCCTTCTACTGTCATCATGTTGATGCTATTTAGCTGTTTGATATTTGAACACATTTATTAAAACAAATACTAACTGATAACTCTTTCTGCTCATTGATTTTATCACCAGTTTTATTATTACAGATGTGAGCTTCAGGTCGCTGGTGTTCCACAGAGTTGGCTCTGGCTGTAGCTAGGTAGCTACCTCCATTAGCTTAGCTCCCACCTCCGCGTTAGCTTTGGGTTAGCTTCAGGTTAGCTTGTAGCTCGTTCAAATGGGTGTCGTCATTTGATCCCAGCCTTACAGCCCCACCCACAGCTCCACCTCTCTTCCCTTTTGTGGAATTGTCTGGGCTTGACGGAACCTATGACACGGTCAAAATGGCGGTGGTGGCCACCTCCAATTTTTCCTCAAAAACGTATATATATATATTTTTTTTCTTCCCAACAGTGACCCAGAACTGATGTATTTGCACAAGTGTTATAACATGTTAAATGATTTTATTTTATTCTTATAAAGGGCTGACGGTTTGATGGGTTTGTAGAGCTTAATGGAAGATCAACAATTTAAAGGTTGAATATGGAAAATGAACACCAAAGCGACATCTAGTGTTTAGAGGTGGTAGTGCAACAACATAACATTTTTCAGCCATCAGGATGATGGTTCACTGCTGATACGTGAAGTGACGAATCATACACAGTAAGGACTGGAAACATAAACCCAGTGTCATACCTGTCAAAATAAAATTTGAACATTTTCTTTTTTTAAATATAGCTTTTATATGAGAAACAGTACAGTCATTCTGCAGACGCCTCGTGGAGATATATATTTTTAATATAGCTTTTAATTTAAATGTTCCAGGGAATTAACTTGAAAGCAGAAAGCTCATTACTACAGTCGATGAATTCAATGTCTCTAATGCATGAACTGCATCCTCTAGTAAAGAAATTATAACAGCATCATTTTAGATCTTTATTCTGATTTTGAACATAAAGTTTCATTCAGACTTCTGACAGCAATCTTAGGAGTATGTCAGAACAAAGAAATTTCCTCCCAGGTTGCCCACAATTTAGGGCCACTACTTGATGTCTG